TCAAGTAAACTTCCAATGCTGTCACCCCCAAGACAACCAAACATCCTCTCCAGGTACATGATTATGACACTAAAATAGTGGTAAACCAATACAGTACTGGGGGGACAGGAAAGGCAAAAGAAGAGAGAAGAGGACAGAAAAATCCTAGTGGTGTTTTCCATTCTCCAAGCTTTGCTAACTTAGTTACTAATACTGCTTAACCGGCTCAGTGATGAAACACAGTTTTTGCTTTAATATAGTAAATCAAAAATAAACTCAGTAGGAAAGTAGTTGAAGAAAGTGGGGAAAATACTTATATACTCATTGTACATAAAGATAAGGTCTTAGACTGAACTTTACCCTTCTTCAGTGACAGTATTCAAATGTTTATGCCTACCAAGAAGGGGAAAAAGAAAAAAAAAAAAAAAAAGGCAATCTTAATCAGTACATGTATTTGAGACTTATAATGTCAAAAGAAGCAGCATGCAATATTTAGTCACACAATTTTTCATTCTCACTTGATCAATCAAAACGCAAAATGGGATGTTCATACTAAAGAAATACTATAGATCATGTAGAACAGTTGACTCAAGCCTGCAAAGACTTGTATAGAACTTTTCCAGAGGAGCTGCATGAAAACGAAGTGCTAAAACCCATTGTTTCGTTCAAAAATTATACAAAGAAAAAGCATGTTGCGGGGAGCAACAAATTCTGCTTATTTTCAAGACTGCACTCTTCATTTACTCTAATTCCTAAAAGCTCTCCAAATGTTCTATTTTGCTTGCTTAGGCCCTTCCTCCACTTCGACTATGGGGAATTTTTAGCACGAAATTCTCACCCTATTTAAGAATTTTCTAGTAAAAAGCGTATTTTATTCATAAAGTATAGCCAAATATGATAATTTGAAGAGCATACAAGTCTCCAGACACATTTTTAGTACCTATTTCATTCTTATATGCTCAAGGCAACATTTCTAGACTTTCCATAGAAACGATGATGATCTGTATTTTATCACAGCATTCACTGTGACCTTTTTAGATCCAGTAGTTACCCAACCACATACTCACTGCAGAGTTAAACAGACGTATCTTCTTCAGAAGTGGTCACTTACAGTACTTAAAGTCAGAAAGTTTCTTCCTTTAGTACTAATGGCACTTCCTACTATGGAATCAAGTAGGATTGATACCATAAACCAGAAAATTCTACTGTTTAAAAAAATCCCTTGAGATCATAAAACAAGATTACACCATTAAATGGGAAATTTTCAGCATGGCATTGAATCTACATTTAATACCATTCTAAGAAACTTGAAAATTAAATGAAAACAGTAACTTTTTCCCCATTAATGTCTCAACCAAAATTAAGTTTGTTATCAACTTTAAAGAAAGTCTTACTTTTCAATTTTTAAGTATTTTGGTATGCTTTGGTTCTTAACTGATGAAGAGATATATGTTTTCCACTACACACATTCTTCAAAATACAGATAGAAGGGGAGTAAGAATTTACAAGACATAACATTGTTACACAATGTACTATACAAAAACCCGTCATTTAAGTTGCAAGAAACCTAGTCATCAATAAGTGAAAAAATACCCCGCTCAAAAATCAATTATGTTGAGTCTTTTGTATAGAGAAGTAGTACACCTTTCAGGCAACTGGTATTAATGAGCAGACATGGCTATAGAATCTCCATCTGTTTTTCTGACAAAGCTGTGACTACTCCAGTCTCTCATTGAAATTCCATTAATCTGGTGCACCAAGGACCAATGCGAAAATCAAAACTCCATCTAACCCTTTATCAGCTCACAATAACCTACAAGTGAACTCTGCCTGTTAGCATACAGCAAGTTATGATTTTGCTATCAATCAGGCTGTTAGCCAATGGAAAAAAAAAAAAAAATCAAGTTAAGAACGAAGTGCCTGGCAGTGCTGTTTTGTTTTGGCTGTCCTGTTTTTGGGTTTATTTTATTTGGGGGTTTTGTTGTGTTTTATCCCTCTTCCAATTTCTGTAGGGTGTCTGGACATGTAAGCCTATGCATCATTCTCCTTCACTGTGATTTAATTGCTGCCAGCAATCAAGTCAAAGCATCACTGAAGTGTGCTTGAATTTCATTAGATGATATAACTTATGCTACTTTCCTACAGTACCTAATAAACCATAAAGAAACCAAAACACATATGGCTTGAGGGAATAACTGGAAAATTAGGTGGCCATTTGGGAACTGAGTGAACTTTTGAACCAGAGGAACAGAGAAAAAGAAATATTAAAAGGAAAGACAGACTTAGAATGCACAAAGAGACATGGGGGTTTGACCTTTTCAGTACCTAGAAAATTACATTAGCATTATGAAAAATACATATCATGTTTAGAGTTTATAATCCATCAAAGTTTAGATACTTTGTTAGTGCCTACCATAAGGTAAAAGTCAAAAGGACAACATAACAATCAGATTTGACAAAAGGCCTTTAGGTGACCTGTGTTAATTTAGTTATCCCATACTTACTGTTAAATGGATTATCTCTCTTGTAATTAATACGCCATTAGACAAAGGTCACACAAAAACTCCAGGATTTTACAATGACTGTAATGTACACGTAATACACTAATTCTTTATCTGTTACCAATCGGGTGCCTTCACAAATTATATTTTGACAATAACACTGCAAAGTCAAATAGTGACACTTTCGGCACTCATACAAACCTTGCAGCCTAACTAAAGGTAAATGCCTGGGTTTGGGTCGGGGGGGAGGGGGTTTAGCACAAAATATATATAAAAGGTTTTACATAAAAATATGAATGGACTCAAATAACACTTCAATTTGGTTACCTACAGCTACGCCCCTCCATTAATGCCGAGAGCCTTGATCCTAAAC